ATCTGAACCCCGTTCGACAACAGCGGTGCTGTAAGGAATGCTTGCTTGACGTCAATGATTCCTAGATCCAGCTTCCGTAGACCTGCGAACTGCAACAGTGTACGCAGGGTGACAGCGTCAATCCCTCCGGAGTAGGTGTCGGCCCGCGACCACCGGTCGCTTCGTGCAAAGTTCCCGCAGCATACACATCGCACCTTTCGCCTTCCTTTTGGCGCCTTAATGCTGAAAATGACCTTCGCAGGGATGACCTCGCAGGGGGTTCCGTCGCGGCGCCACTGCTCCAGTGTGGCTTCATCCAGAGGCTTCACCGCCTTCTGCAAGCCTTCATACTCCTCCCTCATCGGACTAATCCACTCCCTGGGATCACGCTCCACAACAGCGTTCGGGACTACGTGGGTCTGCAACACCTCATCGTAGGACTGTTGGAGGTCCTGAGTGGCCTGCTCCACTTGCTGAGCAACGCTGCGAAGGGACTCCACTCGCTCTCCACCATTGGCGGAGTCACACACAACCGCTTGCACATGCAAATTGCTCTCCCTTTTGATCAAAGCCTGAAGTCGAAGCTGCCTCCGGTCAAGCTCTTCCCTTGCCGTCTCATCAAAGGCCAGAGGAACAGCGGCGGCAACCAACTCACACATCTCAACTTGGTCGCCCGGCGGCGACGCTTGTGCCTGATGTAGACGGCTGCCTTCAGCTGGCACCTCAAAGAAGTCAGCATCTTCCTTGACTGGTCCTCCTTCGAGGTCTTCCCAGTCTGTAACCACAATGCCTTCGTCCAGCCACTCTTCTCCTTCGTCGGAGTCGTCCTCATTCTCCTTAGGGGTATCGGGACTAACCCCTATCGCTATAGGTTCATCAGGGAAGAGAGACCGGTTCGGGGTGGCGCGGAGCATAGACACACGCTCCCTCTGCAACTGATGCTCAGCCTCAGCCTGTTCGACCTCCTGAGCAAACTCACTGTCTCCTCGACGGGACATCCTCGGCGGATCAACTGTGCCTCCAGCAGTGACGGCGCGAGTCACAATGATTCTCTGAATGAACGAGAGGCCGGACACTTGCTCTCTCAATGCCAAGAACCGTTCTGGAGTAACTCCTTGCTCATACAGCCTGGGGAAATGGCTGGGGTCTAGTGCACCCCCAATGGTCTCTGGGCGATAGCCAAACCTTCGCCTGATACCTTGATGCACCTCCCCTTCCACAAAGCCCCGGCCTTCAGCGTAGGGGACCTGAGTGGAAGCCCAATGGACGGCCTCGGCTAGCTCATCTGACATTGGAAGCTCCTGAGGAAATTCGTCGAGCATCTCCTGCTGCTCGTTAACGGTCCCACGACCTGCGTGATCTAGGACAATGAGTCCCATTCCCAGCCAGAGTGCACCTGGACTTACACTCCCCCCTCTCCGACTCGGATCTCTCCATTTCCAGGACTCATAGTAGTGGAGCGCTTCGTCATGCGTTGCCACCGAAGCATCCTGTAGGACCTCCCGACACTTGAACCACACCAGGTTCCCCTCACTTGCTTCCAACCTGCTGGACAACCACACGCGAGATTGAAACTCCTCGCTCGGCGGTAGGACCCCTGCGTCTGGGCTTGAGGCTGACCCCCGGTCGCTCTGATCCAACACTCTACTTACAGCAAGAACCGGACCACCTGATGCCTTTGCTGAATGCGCATTGGGGACACCTGATGCCTTTGCTGAATGCACCGTGGGGGCACCTGATGCCTTTGCTGAATGCACCGTGGGGACACCTGATGCCTTTGCTGAATGCGCATTGGGGACACCTGATGCCTTTGCTGAATGCACCGTGGGGACACCTGATGCCTTTGCTGAATGCGCAGTGGGGACATTGATGCCTTTGCTGAATGCACAGTGGGGACACCTGATGCCTTTGCTGAATGCACCGTGGGGACACCTGATGCCTTTGCTGAATGCGCAGTGGGGACACCTGATGCCTTTGCTGAATGCACAGTGGGGACACCTGATGCCTTTGCTGAATGCGCATTGTCTACCCTAATCGAGGCCAGCCGTGGCGGGGGACCTGGGTGAGTTTTCGGATTGGGCACTGGAACTCTCCCCACAGCCTCTGCGGATAAAAATCGGTCTTCCATTGTCATCATCG